CAGCGAATAGTTCTGCAAGCCTGTTTGCATAAACGTTTCGCTTTGTCTTCTCACTTTCAATGTTATTAATAATTTCGTGTTCCTCGTCGTCCGAGGCATCGTAAGAAGAAACACTCAGCATTTCCGGCGATACAAAATCGGTTTCAGAAAAAACCACCAATCAGTAAACTGCGTCTGAAAAACACGAACGCGAACACTGCGACGGACAATTAAAAAGACGAAAAAAGTGGATTGTCGCTGAAATAGAAAAACAAAAATAGGTAATATGGAAATATCTCTGGTAAAGCATAAAGATACGTAAAAAGTAATGCGTTCCCTTACTCAATCATTTATTAATATTTTCCAGTGTGAGTAAAGCACAAGGGAGATATCAGATTAAGAGTTCCCAACTTCAAAAATCCCAACTTGTTCAAATACTGAAGAGGGCGATTATATTATTCATTCAGGATTTATTTCTTTGTTTATTGCCAATTTACAGGCCCGGGCCTGCCGCGCATCAAGGCTTTAAACCACTACTGACTTTCTGTATACCATAAACAACTCCTACTGGTCTTAGCACTTCTCTTCCTATATGGAACTGCGCATGATAATTGTAGTGCTCTGAGCACACCCACGGCTTAGACCCCTACCCCTTGGTGACCATGACTTGATTAAATCGCGACCCCTGAAAGTGCCTCGATGCAACCGTCAAAAAAATTAGCATTCTTCTTCATCTGCCTGTTTTTCCTGTATCACTTATCTTATCCACCGATAGGAAAACGTAATTGTCCATATTTCGTGACGAATAAAGACGATATCATTAACCGGACTCCAACTATATTCTGAGAGTGGACCTTCAACCGGACAAACACTGGATATTTTCCCCCTTTGAACACTGATCAAGTAAACTAAGCACATTTGTTTGATGAAAGTGTTCTGAAAGACCTACGCAATCAGCGCGTGAACAAGTTACTACAAAGGCCCAGTCACTTCCAATAATAAAAAAGTGGACACTAAAGGTGTGCTGTCATAGTACACTTGTGGATCACAAACTCTTTTCTTTTATCGCCCCTAAATCAGCGCGTGGAAGTGCAAACCTGTAATAAGTGGCATTCTATGAAATTAAGAGATGATGTCCGAAAATTCATAAACCATATCTTACTGGGGTCGCCTAAAACATACTTTAAAATTAAAGCAGGACTCTTCTAACTCACCCAAGTCTTACATCCCTGTTTAGTTAAGACTCGCGAATTGTCAACAAATTTCACTCCAACTTCCGACACGTTCCTCCCTAAATTTTTGAATAGTGCCTGTGCCGAGAATCTGTTGACTACCATAT